TTCAGGTTAGGTAGAAAAGGCAAATTCCTTAATGAAGTCCTACCTAACTAAATTAACTCTCGAAACTAAAGATCCTTAAACTACTCTCCTACCTCTAACCCTTTATGCACATCAGGGCAATCCCCCTCCCCCATGCACACTCCTTTCTTAGTCCCTTTGACTTCATGTATGGAAGACCCTTCTTATTAGAAAACTTCCCTTCCACAGAGACCCCTCTCAGAGACTATGTCCCCATTTGAAAATCTCATCCAACAATAACTGAGAGAAGATGCTGATCAAGTCCTGCCTCCATCTTCTACGGGAGACATCCTCCTACTCCTCTATAGCCAGGGGACTGAGTCTTCCTAAAGGAAATCCACCCAAATAATTTACGGCCTCAATGGCAAGGCCCTTATCAGGTACTCCTAACCACCCCACTGCAGCTAAACTATCAGAGCAAACCCCATGGTTCCACCTTTCCAGATTAAAACCCATCCCGGGACACCTCCATCACGTGAGCTGGAGTCCCCTATTACAGCCACCAGACTCCTCCTTACCCTCATCTATTGCTCACCCAATGTAGATGTAGCCCCCCAAAATCAGTCTTTACTGATATTCCCTCTTCTAATGACCCTTTGCATCATATAGGGGACCTCAGCACTGCTGTATCCTATTTGGAAATCCTGTCTGAGGACTTACAAGAAAGCTCCAGATGCTAGCAACGGCAAAACTGGGAAAACAAGAACCTTGCCCCTAGGGTAACCTCCCCTCCCCTAGCAAATAACTAGTCAGGCAACTAAGACCCCTGACTTTTTCCTCCCTAAGGATCACATCTAGGTCTCAGTTGCATTTCAGCTCCAGGCCCAGAAAAGCAGCAAAAGCAGACAAGTGACGCTGTGGCAGTCTCAGGACCAGCTTCTGCTGCCCAAGTCCCTCAACAGGAACGTTTTCGAGCCTTCCAGGTGGCCTAATAAATCCGTGATTCTTCTTCCTTTTTGGCCCCGTATGTGCCTCCTTTCGCGACCCTTACATCTATGGCCCCAGCGTTCTGAGAGTGAAAGTAAAAATCCTCACGCAAAACCACACCTCATCTCTTTGTTGCCTTTAGAGCCAAAACAGCCCGAGTTTCCGAATCATCCTGCTCAGTCGCACCATCACGTCCTTACAAGGCGGCCCTGCAGCCTTTCACCCTCTTCCCCCATCAGCCATGTGTCACCCACGAGGGACTCACCATTCTGAGCGCTGGGACCTGGGCGGCAGGACCTGAGAGGCCGGGTCCCCAAAGCTGGAGGGTGAAATGGGGTCAGGCTGCGGGGACGCAGTGAGCAGAGAGGAGTCCGGGAGGCACGGGGAACCCAATCTCGGGCTGTTGGGCTCAAGGAGCCTCAGACACACCCCGCAGAGCAGGCTCGCTGCCTCCCAGGACTCCTCCTCCTCACAACCAGTGCCCTGAAGCCTGTGAACCTGTGAACAAAGACCTAAGATGTAAAAATGACTACTAGGAGGAAGCAGGAAGTCCCGCCCTAACTGGATGCACAAACACCAAATGCCCTTTAGCTCCGCCCACTTGAGCGCATTTCCTTCTGGGTAATGTAGTTTTCTCCACTGCACTGCCCAGGTGAATACTAGCATCCCAGCCAATGACTTGGTGAATAAAAGTGTTCTAGCACCAGAAAAAAAAAAAGTGTTGTAGCACAGCAAGTGACGCCTGGGGAGGGACAAGATGAGACCAAACGCCTGGCTAACGGGAACAAACTGACACCTCCAAGGTGAAGAGGGTGGAAAAGAATGCAAACAGATCCACCAAAGAATATATACCCTGGGGGGGGAAATGAGAGACATTGATAATACTATCAACAATAAAAAATACATGTATTAGAAGAAACCAAGATGGCAGCATAGGTAAACACCAGAAATTGCTGCCTCCCACAACAAATTCGAAAATACAGCTAAAAGACAAAATGGACATCATCCAGAACTACAGGAAGACTGGCTGAGTGGAAATTCTGCAACTAGAAGGAAAGAGAAAAGCACACTGGGACTCAGAGGAGGTGCGAAAGTAAAGTGCAGAGGTATGGATCCACATGTGGAAAGGGCTGGCGACTGAGGACTTGGCTGTCTTTTTGAATTGGGAGGGAGTCACAAGCCCCTGACTGCTCTGAACTCCGGTTCCGGGAAGACTCTGGGGACCCGGACTTGTGCAGGGAGAGAATGGATGGTCTGGCAGTGGGCAGAACTTGGAACTCAAGGGCAGCTTTCTCTAGGAGGTGCTTGCAGCAATTACCAGGACACTGAGACCAGGGGCCCCTTAGGGCAGGGCTGAGGATAAGGCATAGCTGCTTGCTCCGCCCTGTTGATCTCCTGAGACCCAGCCCCACCCAAGTTGTGGCAGAGGCTTTTGCATATGAATGCCCTGGCCCTTTGCAATCTGAAAATTACCTAATAAAACTGCAGCTGGGCCAGACAGACCCAGAACTTCCAAGAGAAGGCCCAAGGCCCCACAGCAGCTTGCATTGCTTCACAGCTGGGCCTCATTTGGGCAACTCCAAACCCCTAACAAAGAAGAGGAATCTGCAGATCTCTCCATAGCTCCTGCTGGGTAGCCTCAGGCAGAGGCTAAATTAGCACCTCCTTAGAGATTCAAGAGCCAGTGTACCAAGTGGTCAGAGTGGGATCAACCAGATTACAACTCCTCAGATCCATAAGGGACACACTCAGGGAGCAGACTCAGTGAGCACCAAAGCCCCACTGACGCAAGTCTTGCCCCATAAGGGTGTCTTCAGCACAGCAG